GTAAGTAAGTAAGTAAGTAAGTAAGTAAGTAAGTAAGTAAGTAAGTAAGTAAGTAAATAAATAAATAAATAAATAAATATTCTACTTTCATTTTGCTTGGTTTCATTATACATTGCCCAGAATTGGTTAAGAGTCGGGTGGTGTGAATTAAACAAAACATAAGCCCCCACTTGTGTATAAGCAACCTTATCTTTGGTAGCTTCCTGTGTAGCTGTAAAACCTGACAACCTCAGAGGAACTGGATATATACAGCATATAACCAGAATTGCCATGGGGTTTTTTTCCCCCCCTCCTATTTCGCTTCTGAACTTCCAGAGGCGCTGGGCCAGTCACAATGTTAAGCGGATTAGACAAAGATCCACTTAAGAAGTTCCATCTGTTTCTCTTAAACCAGGACAGACACTATTGCAGCTAAGGACCCACAGGAAGACCTCAGCCGAACTTCAACTTGCTTTTGCACTAATTTAGAACTGTGGGGAGGAGTTTAGAGAGAGAAAAGCAAAAGAAAAGCCGAAAGTGGTCCGTGGAGTGACGCAGAGGAAATAGCTGTTTGCTCACAAGTCAGATAATTTGCCACCTGGTCTTTCTGGGCAGTTCTGAAGCGTTAAGAGAAAAGTTATGGCACATGGAAATAACAGGAGGATGGTTCTGCTCACCTTTAGTTCCAAACCTGTCCACCTCCTTTGTGGCAGATGGGTGGGGAGAATAGGTATTTCCCCACTCCTATTTTAAACCTCTCCTTTGTCAGAAAAGTAGATTCTGCTTCACCCATCAAAGTGTAAGTGATGAGTTCCAGGTAAAAATATTTCCTATAAATGATGAGGCCTGCTCTGCATCATCCCCTGTACTTCTTTACTGCGCACAAATCTCCTTCCCTAATAACCAAGGAATGCCCAGGACAATGTTTTAGCATAATTTGCCTTCTGAGGAAAAATTTTCAAAGATTTTTAGACATTGGGTTGTTAAAAATGTTAATAATCCAGTGTTCCTTTAAAAAAAAAAGACATATACCTTTTCAAATAAACACGAAACAAATGAATTTACTAAGAGTATTATAAATACTCTTAGGCGGCGCAGTGGTTAAATGCAGCACTGCAGGCTGACTGCTAGATCAGCAGTTCAGCGGTTAAAATCTCACCGGCTCAGGGTT